AATGTCTGAGTCTGCTCTGTGAAGGTACTTCACCGGAGTTGTGGTGCAGAAAGGAGGTGGACTAGGACTGTTTGCTCTGTAGCCTGGTCAAGGAACTTCTCCCTTCCTCAATCTCACCTGGGCACTAAGGCAGCAGTAAGAGTAACCCAATACACGAATAAATTGTCCCTTTTTATAGTTGAGTATTTCTTCCATGAGCAAGAAAGACAGGAAAACTTAAAGCCATCATTAAAGGCACAGCAGTGCTAGGCAACCTGCATGTGTTGGTGTTATCCATTCAGTTCTAAGAGTGGAAATGAGTGAAGAAAAGTGAATTAAAGATGACTAAGATTAAAAAAAAATTAAAATGATAAGTGCTGGCGGGGGTGTGGTGAAAAAGGAACTCTCTTACACTCCTGGTGGAAAATGTAAACTGGTCTAGCCACTATGGAGAACAATATGGAGATTCCTCAAAAATCTACAAATAGAACTACCATATGATCCAGCAATCACACTACTTGGTATCTCCCCAAAGGACAGAATTCTTCATCGGAAAAATGCTCGCACATCCATGTTTATTTCAGCATTATTCACAATTGCTAAGACGTGGAACCAGCCCAAATGCCCACGAACAGATGAATGAATTGAAAAAGTGTGGCATGTATACTCTATCGAATACTACTCAACCATAAAAAACTACAAGACCCTGACTTTTGACAAAAAGTGGATGGATATGGAAGGTGTACAGCTGAGGCCAGGCTATGAAGGAGAGACATTGTATGTCTCCACTTAATATATTCCGAGTGTTTGCACTCAATGACTGAAACTGAATGACTAAAGGATATAGTAACACAGTAAATGGTTGTGAATACCAAATATAGTGTGGGAAGAGGGTGGGTGAAGGAGTAGAGTCTGAGGAAAGACATTAAAGAGAAAAATAGAGAGGCAAAGCATTAATGGGACAAAGAAATGGGGTATATAATCTGTTGAAGATAAATTTATATTGTTATCAGCTGGACTGGTAAGAAATGTACACATGTTGCCATATTCACTTTGCAAGCTAAATAACATGATTGAGTGTATAAAAGAACTTGAAATAAAAAATAAAAAGACACAGTTTTTAGGGCTAGCCTCATAGCCTTGTGGTTAAGAGAGTCATATCCCATATGGCTGACTGCAATTCCAGGCTTGGCTCCAAGTGACTTGAAAAACACACTGGGCACATGCACCTCTGTGTCCAGAGTCCTAACAGGATGGAGAAATGGAGGAGAAAGGATTGTCATACCATATTAAGGTTGCTTTCTCTCTATTTCTCCCTATCTGCCTTTCTCTCTGATGAGTGTACACATCTCCTGACAATTATAGAAGGAAAAAAGAAAAGAAAGAGAAAGAAAGAAAGAAAGAAAGAAAGAAAGAAAGAAAGAAAGAAAGAAAGAAAGAAAGAAAGAAAGAGAGAGAGAGAAAGAACACAGATTTTAGACATCTATCCCCCACCCTTTGACCCCCTACACATAGTGTGACTATATTTCCCCCACCCTTCTATCCCCTACACATAGAGTGACTATATTTCATTCTTCAGTGGCCTAACTCTATCCAGGTCTCCAAAGGATATTGTTCAGTGTTGTGTTTTGTTTTGTTTTGTTTTGTTTTGTTTTGTTTTGTTTTTGAGATGAGTAGAACCTAGGCAGACAGGAGAGAGATTTCAGAGCCCTAACAGCTCCTAAAATGTCAGTGCTGAGAACCTGAGACTGGCTTCCTCATTGTTGTTCACCTGCCTAAGCAACACACTGACTTCAGAGGCAACCTCAGAGTCCACGTAGTGACGAAGGTCAGTGCTGTGGTAGCTCTGAAGCCCATAACTGGTTCGTATGTAAGGTTTTCCTTAAGGACTTATTGATCATCACAAGAGAGAATGTCTTTCTTTTTTTATGAATGATTAAAAAGGTGGGAACCAGCAGTTAGCGTAATGGCTATGTCGCTGGACTCCCACATAGTCAACCGCAGTTCGCGTCCCGGACCCGGTGGCTTAAAACTCACGCTGGGCGCGTGTGCGTGGAGAATGGAGTAGAAGGGATTGCGGCGTGACCATCCCCCCTGGGGGGTGATTTCTCGCTTTCTGTCTCTCTGTCTCTCTCTGTCTGTCTGGCGAGCACACGTGCCCTATAGCAAAAACCTCTCCAAAAAAAGAAAAAAAATGTAGTATGTGTATGCCAAGTCTATGTTGTTTTTTCAAGCAAAACAATTTTCATTCAATTTAAGACATTTGTTGTGTACTTACTATATACCATAAATTATTGCAGGTGCTGCCAGTACACAAATAAGACAAGATATAAACCCTGTCTCAAAAAAATTTTTAGTGTAATAGAAGGCATGCCCTTCATCCGTTGCCATAGTAATGCTATGTAATAAATCATCCCCAAACTCAGTGGCTTAAAAGAGTTAGTTATTCTGGGGAACTGGACAGTGATGCAACCGTGAAACATGGAGTGCTGCAAGGCTGACCCACATGGAAGGTTCTGGACTTGGGCTGGCGACCTCCTTGTGTTCTCCAGGCACACACCTCCAGTGTCCATAGTCTGGGGTGAATGTGGTGTCAAGACCTCATTGGGGTGCCAACTTTCTGTCTATCTCGGTCATGGATGGAATATATGAGTAAACTTTAAAAATAAACACATAAAGGGACCAACAGATGGCATAATGTTTATATCTCTGGACTGCCACGTAGTTGACTGTGGTTCAAGTCCTGGACCTGGTGGCTTGAACTCAAGCCAGGCATGTGTGTGTGTGTGTGTGCCCCAAATTCAGAGAGGAGAATGAAAGAGAAGGGATTACAGTATG